AGCAGATGCAGAGATCCACATCCACACACCAGGCTGAGGTGTTGGAGTCCAGTTGAAGAGAGGAAAGAGGGATTATAGGAGCAAGGGGAGTCAAGTTTCCCTGTTTTATGACATGATGCAGTGTTTGCACTGAGCTGTTCCCTAATAGCATTCCTTTTTGTATTAGTCTGACTATAGGCGCTCTTCCCCTCAGATGTTCCCAAAAGGGAAGGTCCTGATATCTTACTTTTTCCTTTATACAGTACCATTCTGATTTCTCTGTACCTACTGCCGGAACTCTGGCCCTTAATGGCCTCAGGCTCTGGATCTGGATTGCATGCTTTTCATCCTTGGAGTCAGGTGTGCCAAGTTAGTAAATCTCTAACTTTTCTGTTCTTGGTCTAATCAGGGGGTCAAAGTGAGGTCCATGCGAGTCATCACACCATATGGTCCCTCGGTTGCAGGAATTTTTTTTTCCAAAGAATTATTTTGTTTAAAGAGGCTGCCATTTTATACATTTCCATCCTTCAAAGCCCACACAAAATTTCCCAAAAGAAAAGGCAAAAGGAAATGCCCATAACACATACTGAGAATTATTAAAAATGAAAATAAAAAGGTGCTGGAGAGTTGTGATCACAATGTCAAAATGCTGGAACTTTGTCAAGCAGCAGTGATTGTCATGTGGTCCATGCCAAAAATTTAACCAAATAAAAACAATTAATAGGCCAGCCATGGCTACATAGTGAGATACTAACACTTACAACAACAATAATATGAAAATGGTACAAAAACACACTGGATTTTGACTGAATAATTGTCTTGCCTCCTTTCAGAAACCTAAATTTCCATAATTGCTGATTCCAACATTGGAACTTCCTGTTGTTAAAACAAAAACAAACAAAAGAAATCATCTATTCAGTGATGTGACCATAAAATACAATAAGATTTGTTTTAAAATAAATTAATTTTTAATTATCTTTTTTCTGTTAAGAAAAAAAAAGGTTTGTAAGATCCTAATCACAAATTGGAATTGGAATCTGTAATGGTTCCCATCAATGCTACAGCAAAACTTTCCAAAACGTAGTAAGCTACAAAGCACCGTGCAAAACGAAGAAGAGCCCCGGGAAATCTCAGAGCACGAGAAATGCACAAAGTGGAATGCATGCGTGCAGTTATCATGGAGGTGAAGACCTGAACAGAGTTTCATTTACCTCAGCACACTGTCCATTTCCCATCTCAAATGTGTCATGCAATAAAAGAGGCTGTTGATTATGTAGTTACATTTCTTCTCTTGACCTGCGGTTTCCATATTTTTGCAATAAGTGTCCTTAACAGCCAGAAAAATGCTTCAAAAATATGAAAAGTATTTGTAAAAGGTCTTACAGCATCCTAATTTATTAATATTTGGAGCAATACTGGTATACATATTAGTTCACATAAATTATGCAAATATTAACATTTTAATACCAGTCAACTGTATATGGAAAATGAAACTTATAATTAGCGTCAGTGGAATCAGGGGATTGTCATTAGTCCTACTTAATAAATACTCTGTTCTAATGTCCTGCTTAGAATTTTGAAATGCCACTGGCTATCATTATAAACATGTTATTTACCGAAATGACCATATTTCACCTTCCCTGCCCATTGCTTTTCTGTGTTCTTAATTTAAGTTCTAAGAAATTTTTTTTTTAAATAGCAAAGAAGTACAATCAAATAATGAGCTTGTAGCCTTGTTTCTCAGCAGACATAAGACAGAAATAATCAAAGGGAGTTGATTATTATCTGATAAAAATAAACACAAATCTGTCTCTTTTTTTAAGATTGGGTATTAATATACACTGAAGTAGAATTTACCTTGTCTTAGTCACTGTTATATTTCTGTGAAAAGATACCATGATCAAGAAATCATAATTATAAAAGAATGATTTAATTGGAAGCTTGTCTACATTTTCAGAGGCTTAATCCATTATCATCATGGTGGGGAGCATGGCCCAGGAGCCATAGCTGAAAACTACATCCTGATCTTCAGGCAGAAAGATACTGGATCTGGTATAGGATTTTAAACACATAAGCCCACCCCAAGAGACACACTTCCTCCAACAAGTCCACACCTCCTAATCCTTTTCAAATAGTGCCACTCCATGATCTAAGCATTCAGATATATGAGCTTATGGGGGCCATTCTTATTCAAACTACCACAGATCTGCTATATATGAATAAGAAGATGAGATATAATTCACAAGTACACACATGTACACAAGCATGCACACACATATTCACATGGAAGAAGCTTTATAAAACAAATAATTTTGCCGGGCAGTGGTGGCACATGCCTTTAATCCCAGCACTCGGGAGGCAGAGGCAGGTGGATCTCTGTGAGTTCGAGGCCAGCCTGGTCTCCAAAGCGAGTTCCAGGAAAGGCACAAAGCTACACAGAGAAACCCTGTCTCGAAAAACCAAAAAAAAAAAAAAATCTATCCTTATATAGTACTATAAATTGATTATTTTACTGAATAAAATGGCTATATTGAAAATTATTGTGGATACTTGTGCCTAGGAGCACATTTTGTCTTTGTTTTCAAACATTTCCCTAAGTACATTTTAAGAGTTTAAAAAAACAAATCAGTGTTTTGAAATTGGCAGTTTATGATATTACATAACACAGATGGTCCCAACATACTTAAGATAACTGTTTTGGACTTGTTGTTGTCTCACTTTGCCATGGTAACAACACAATAAACATTGAGTAGGAATCCGACTCAAAATTTAGGATGGTAATCTTTGCTCATCTACATACAATACTCTCTTATGACACTAGGGGGCAGAAGTGAGCAACAACTCCCAATAAGCATACTCAAAGGTAAACAGCCAACCAATGCTGGACCACAGCAACATTCAGTAGGCGTACAAAGGCATTTTTGTGGTATTTTCACCTTGATGATGAGTTTTTTGGCATGTATTCCCATTGGAAATCAAGTGGCAGTTATACATTATTTTTCCTTATTTGATGATGCTGAGAATGAAGGCAGAGCCTTAGATGAACTAGGGTCCCTTTCACTGAGCACACATTCTTCCTGTACTTGCTGTCACCTCTGGATTTACAGTGGTACAAATGTATCATATTGTCTCCATGCCATTTCTTGAGATTAATCTGAAAATTTTATTAGAGAAAGGACTATGCTAAATGAAGTGATTTTACTCTCAAATTGTCTTTAAACTAATAGGGAGAATGCTTTGAGCAGATAATCTGAGATGACACAATAATGTGCAAAATTTTCCAATGAATCTTTAACTTAATTAACAAATAAAAATGCTCCCTTCAACGGCAACCTTAAGATGCAATTGCAAGGTCAAAATAAAATTGACCATCTTCTTTTCTTTTGCTTTTTTTTTTTTTAATTTTTGAGACAGGGTCTCTCTATGTATTCCTGACTGTCCTAGAATTCACTATTGTAGACCAGGCTGGCCTTGACCTCACAGAGATCCTCCTGACTCAGCTTCCAGAGTTCTGGGATTAAAGGTGTGTGCCACCATGCCTGGCTATTGGTAATTTTCTTTCATTCAGTGAATTGTAGCAATTTCCAGAGATGCTGTTGTATAAAATCATGAAGTTTAGAATGAGAAATATTTGTGTTAGCCATAACCTTTTTCACATAGTTATTGTGAAAGGAATAAATGTTATGAAACAAACTTTAGAGTGTAGCATTTACAAACTTAACTGAGGGCTGGAGAGATGACAGACACACTGGTTAAAAGCACTGACTTCTTTTCCCAGAGGACTCAGGTTCGATTTCCAGTACCCACAAGATGGCTCACAGTTGTCTGTAACTCCAGTCCCAGGGGATTCAATGCTCCCTTCTGTTGTTGGCTTCTTATTTTACTCTTTGCTCTTTGGGGGCCTGCCACCCAGCTCCCAAATAAATACACAGAGACTTATTCTTACTTATGAATGCCCAGCCTTAGCTTGGCTTGTTGCTAGCCAGGTTTTCTTAAGTTATCCTGTCTACCTTTTGCTTCTGGGCTTTTATCTTTCTCTAGTTTATATTTATTTCTTTACTTCTTACTCTGTGACTTGCAGTGTAGCTGGGTGGCTGGCCTCTGACATCTTCCTCTCCTTTTCCTTCTTTGTCTCCCCTTTCATATTCTTCTCTTTCTATTTATTCTCTCTGCCTGCCAGCCTCAACTATTTCTCCATCCTGCCTAGCTATTGGATGTGCAGCTCTTTATTAGATCAATCAGGTGTTTTAGACAGACAAAGTAACACAGCTTCACAGAGTTAAACAAATGCAATATAAAAGCATGCAACATTTCTTTGCATCATTAAACAAATGTTCCATAGCATAAATAGATGTACTGCATCTTCAACTAATATCCCACAACATTCCTTCTTGCCTACAAGAGCATCAGGCATGTTGCACAGACATACTTGCAGAGAAAAAATGTATATACTCACTCATGTATGTAAGTATATACATAAAATAATTTTTAAAATATTTATCTTAACTTGGGGGGATGATAACACTTCAGATCAAGGGACTTGCCACAAGCCTGACAACCTGACCTTGGTCTCCAGAACCCACATGGTAGAAAAAGAGAACCTGCTTCCAAAAGTTATCTTGGACCTCTACAACATTGGCACTGTGGCACTTTTTATGCCCATGCCTATGCAAAATAAATAGACAAATGTAATTTTCTTTATTTTTCAGTTAAGTTTTGAAGCAAGAAAGTTCATCATTGCTGTCTCCTACTTAAAGATGTTTATGTTTGTGTAACATAAGCTAATAACATCTACATATTAAGTACTTTCTCTTTGCTGTGACAAAATCCCTGATAAACATAACTCCATGAAGGAAGGAAGGGTTTATTTGACACATGCTTTGAGGGCATAGAGATCACTATGGCAGGAAGGCATGGCAACAGGGGCATGAGCCAGCTAGCCACATTGCATCTTCAATCAGAAGCCGAAGACACGAATGTTGGTGTGCAACTCACTTTCTCCTTTGTTCCTTTTTATTCAGTCCAGGCCAAGCCTGTGGGATGATGCTGTTCACACCAAGGGTGAGTCTACCTTCTTTAATTAAATCTCTCTGGAAATGTCCTCACAGACAAGCCCAAAGGTATGTCACCAAGGAGATTCCAGTTGACAATGAAGATTCATCATCGTACTACTACTTGGGATTTTGATAAATATCAGTTAAGCTAATGTACAAGAAAATTAAATTGCTTGGCATCAAGTCACTGTTGGAAAAATTTTACCCAGATTTGTATTAGCATAATTATTATGTTTGTCAGTAAGTATAATTACCATTGCACTTGAAAATTAAAGTGTTAATGTCTGCCTCCAATAAATTAATACATGATAAAATTGATTTATAACAAATTAAATTTGGCTTAGTGTAATGTTTGATAATGTCAGGATCAAATGTGATATTTTTAGTAAGTTACATTTGTTTACTTATTTATCCTGTGTATATGCTGTCCATGAGGATGCACATACCACAGCATGCAATGTGGCAGTCGGAGGACAACTTTGTAGAGTTAGTTCTCTCCTTTCATCTCTGTGGGTTCCAGGAGTTGAACTCTGACCACCAAGCTTGTACAAGTGTCTTCACCTGTTGATCTATCTCACAGGCCAAACTCTGCTATTTTTAAATTTTCACTAAACCATACAGATGTAAGGTATCCTCATTAGGGTTTCTATTGCTGTGAAGAGACACATGAGCACAGCAATTCTTACAAAGGAAAACATTTCATTGGAGCTGGCTTACAGTTTAGAGGTTTAGTGTAGCTAGAGTTTTCCTGCCTTGCCCACAGTCAGGACAAATCTTTGTC